TGCGTATAATATTCTACCTTTGGCCCGTTCCGCTTTAGGTGTCAAAAGAACCCAGGAGACTCGTCTCAAAATGAGTCAGAGTAAACTAAACGATCCTAGTTTAGCAGACACAAAGGCAAGGACTCCATTAATTATGGTAGAATCCTTACTGCAGAACACAAGCTAAAACTTAGTGAAGCCTTTAAGGAAGCAAAAATCCTATGGCTGGTAAAACTCATTCTGCCGAGACTCGACTTAAGATTAGCAAAGGCAATCTTGGTAAAACAATTCCTATTGAGATTCGTATTAAAACTAGTATAACTATGGGTACAGCTATTTTTGTATACAATTCTAATGACAAAACTCTTTGAATCAATTTTCGTCTGCTAGAGCAGCAGCTTCACATTTTGGGTGTGATCATAAAGTTCTCTTCTCTTATGCCCGTAGTGGGAAAATCTGTCGTAAACAGTGGCTTCTCTCTACTCACAGAAGATCTCAGATGAAGATCTGTTGGAGAGGAAAAAGGTAGAGGATATGACAAGTAGAGAACATGTAGAGAAGGTGTTGGTGAGAATGATAGGGCTATTGTTAAGATAATAAAGGCCAGAGCAGGCTTAGGTAAGACTCGTTCTACCTTAGATATGGCATTGAATGATGTTAAACCTTATTTGATCTTGGCTCCCTTTACGGTAGATTGTAAGGCTATAGTCTAATTAAAATTATCCCTACCTCCCTTGCCCGACCCCTCGGGGCCTTAACAGACAATGTTTATCAAGCGTACGGAACTTTGGAAGACACTATAAAGATCCCTTTCGAGGAATTGTTGCTTGCTAGAACATATGCTTTTCTTGGACTATTATTTTCCATGGTTAAACCCTTTACTTTTCATTCAGTACACCTCTTGCAAAAAAGGGGCAACAAGTAGTCTCTCATTGAGACGAGACCACAATCAGTTTTCTACACCGGAAATGAGACGGTTCGCCCCTTTTTTGGCCCCCTACGATAGACCTAAGAGGCCTTCCTTTTACTTCCTCTATGAACAACTGGAAGAGATAACCGTTAGATACCGCAAGGAAAGAGAACTCAATCCTTGGTTCGTTACAGGTTTTGTAGACGGGGAGGGTTGCTTAACTGTTCCTATATCTCAGAAACAAGGCGGAGGTAGATGGTATGTTGTTGCTACTTTTCAATTCGGCATACAGGTCTGGTCTATCAGTACTAAATTTTGGTTTCTAATAAAAATAGTAGCAAATTGGAGATTTTAAGAGTAAAAATTGAAGATAGCTGGTAAGGACCAGAGGTAGTTAAGATTAGGAGTAAGGATAATGAAGTTAAATTAAGACCCCCCCTCTTCTATAAGTAAGTGGACGGCCAGCTCCTAGAGCCTTGGTCACAAAACCCCCTTGTTACTGGAGCAATGCTATTATTATCCATCTTACTCTTTTCGGCCGTCGTGCCTCTAACTTCCGTTCACATGAGTACTCATGTTTTCAATAGACTAGCCATCTTAGTATTACTCTACTCCTCGGTATTGGCTTGGAACATGCTCTATTTAGAGCCAATAGGTGTAGGCCTAGGGATCTATGGTGGACTATCCCACGTCACTCTACTCTCTCAAGCATTTGATACCTTTATCCTGGCCTGCGCTTCCATTATTCTGCTTCTTGGTTCCGGAGTTATACCGGTTTTGGGGCAGCATGGATCATGGTTTGAACCTATTGCCAAAGGCAGAGTGGCTGAATACCCTCTAATTATCCTTTTCACGACTCTAGGTATGAGTTCCCTTGTTTCTAGTAGTGATTTGGTCACCCTCTTCTTGTCTATAGAGCTACAAAGCCTCGCTCTATACATCCTCGCCACGATCTACCGGGACTCAGAGGCAGCGACATCTGCCGGTCTGAAATACTTCATAGTTGGTGCGCTCTCTTCTAGCTTGATCCTGCTAGGATCTTGCCTACTCTATGGGTTAACAG